AGGATTTTCTTCCTCATTTCCACTTTTATTTTTAGTGGCTGCTACTTCAAGAATTTGTACTTTGGTTTTAGAGTTATCAGTTCATTTCGAACCTCTTTTATTTCATTTTTTAGATCATGAATTATAGGTTCTTTTTAGTGTTGAGTTCTATTTTGAACTCTTTTCAGAATATCACTAAAGCTGTAATCTTCATTAGTAGTAATAAGAGTTGGTTTAGGAGCAAGAGAACTTGAAGGTTCTTTGGCCATGTTGATATAATGAATTAAGACTTCTCGTTTAACCTCAGGGTCACTTATTTTATCAATTAGGTCAATTATGAGATTTTATACCTTAGTCAGAGTATTTAAGTTTAGGTCTTTCAAAAAATTGCACTGACAATTTATATCTTCAGAATCTGTTTCAGAATCTGAATTGGAGAAAATCAATTCTTCATCATTTATTTCTCCGATGAGCATTCTTCATCAGAGTTAGAAGATTCTTCAGAATCATCTCTTTTAATTAAGAGGATATCAAATAATTGCTTTTTTATTTCAATGTCTATTTCTAATGCATTTATTTTCTTTTTCACATGACATTTATTTTTATAATGTCTTACTTTTCCATAGTTATAGCAAACTGGTATTTTTCTTTTTTCCTTTTGTTTAAAGCGGTGATCTTGTAAGAATTTCTTAGGAAAAATATTTTTCTTTTTTTTTAGATATCTAGATTTTGTCTTTCTAGAATCTCTAGAGTCTCTAAATTTCTGTTTGTGAGAGAGCTTGGAAGTAGGTATAGTATTAAAGCAGAATTGTTCACAAAAATCTCCTAATTCTTTTTTCCCAGTCATTTTTTGTTTCTTCAATTGCCTTTTTAATTTTAAGTCTGTGCATAAAGCAAGCCCTTCAACACATATTTCTGCTGATAATTCTCCAAGTGTGTACACAGAATAAGGTATAATTCCTCCATGCTTATTTTTCAATCTTATATTGACTTTTTCTCCAAACAAATGAGGAAGTCCAGCAATGAATTTTTTTTTCCAATAGTCAATTTTACTATCTTCTCTGGATAGCAGTCTGGAATAAAATACATCTTTATACCATTTGAAATGTGAGAGAGTTGGACAATGGAGATTTGAAAGTAGATCCTTCGATCTAGCTAATAAAAGGATTGTACTCCCCACCGGTCTAAATCATCTTCAGAAACTTGATAGGACCATTTTAGAATCCAGGGAACCTGATATAGGGCCATGAAATATATGTGGTAGTATCAATTTAGACTAGTTTTATTATATTCAGAGAATTTTCTCTGTGATATTTGAAATTTTTCTGAAAGTATTTGACTTAATGATCCATATAGCAGGAACCAACTTTTAAACCAGTTTGGAAATTCTGTTGGCTCAGTTATTTTAAACTGTACATACCAGCTGTGTATATTTTTTGTATTCTGGTAGGCAAAAACTTCGTCTCATGCCTTAATATATTCAAAATAATGATAGGATTTGATTTTAAATCCTTTTGTAATTAGTGTCATTGGTTTTAAGGGATTCAAGCCCCAGTCATTATAAGAGATGATCTTATGTATTTGGAATTTTGAATATGTTATTTCCGAGTCATTATTTCTATAGTGGCGTACTATTGACACCGACCCGGTTTTCATTAAAATAGCTTCGTACCAAGCTCTACATCTTTTTCCCATATTAGGATGTAGATGATGGCGCAGATATATGACGGCTAATTCAACATGGTCTTTTTCCTTGTGTTCATTTTCGATTATGACCAGCGAGATATAAGCTGTATCAAGAAATGAAGTTTTATCAGGGTTTGGACTATTATAGTTCAAAGGGGATTGTTGAGGAGATATTTGAATCTTTTGAGCTTGCTTTCTTCTGTATGAAGGCAATTTCAAACTCTTCACCAAAATCAGAATATGGGATTCTCCGACTACATTGCTCTAATGTAACAAAAAAATCCCACTCTGTCAAAAGCAGAGCTCAGGAAAAAATTACTCTTTGCCCTTGATGAAGAAGTAGAAATTAAAAAACCAAGGTCCTCAAATGATACAGAAACCGAAGATCTGGAACCTCCAAATAAAGATGATTGTATGGGGATATTTTCTCAACTAATTAGATAAAATATCAGGGACAATACGACTTCTTCACCATTCGGGACATGTGTCCCAAAAATGATGGTAAAAAATACTGTCAATACATCAATCACTATTGCTACAGTAAAAGAAGCATTATTGCCGACATTGTTGAAAAACGACAAGAATAATTGCTTTTACCTACCTTTTGCTTTGACGTGAAAGAAAATGCATCTTACCTTGTCGGTGCAGACTTAAGAGTGTTTGGAATCCGCCCTCCCTTTTCTATAAAACGAGGTCCAAGCCTCAGAAGTAAGACACCTAGGGATTTCCTTCTGCATGTTACAACTAGTGTTATAAGTTTGAGCGATTTCTGACTGATTGTCATAAGTTTGAGTGATTATAATTT